ACAGTTGGGGGCCATCAGTCTGGCAGGGAAGGGCAGTTGGGGGACCAGGCTTGCAGGAGAGGGAAGTTGGAGGTGACCAGGCCAGCAGGAAAGGGCAGTTGGGGGCGATTGGGCTGGCAGGGAGCACTTAGGTGTTAATCAGGCTGGCAGGGAAGTGGTTAAAGGGTGATCAGGCTGACAGGCAGAAGTGGTTAGGGGCAATCAGACAGGCAGGCAGGTGAATGGTTAGGAGCCAGCAGTCCCAGATTGTGAGAGGGATGTCTGACTGCGGGTTTAGGCCCAATCTTTGTAAGATTGGGCAGTCCCTTGAGAGGTCCCAAATTGGAGAGGATACAATCTTTGCTGAGGGACATGAATTTTATGCACCGGGCCTCTACATGGTATATAAAACTGAAAGTAACAATACAAACAAAAACTCATAAGTACAGTATTATGGTGATTACTGGTGGGAAAGGGGAATGAGGGATGGTGGAAAAGATTAAAGAGAGTCAAATACATGGTGACAGGAGACTTGACTTTGGGTGGTGAACACACAATGCAATATACAGATGATCTATCATAAAATTGTACATTTGAAACTTACATAATTTTATTAACCATTGTCATCCCAATTAATTTAAAATAAATTTTAGAAGGAAAAGCAAAAAAAAAAAAAAAAAAGGTGCATATACCTTCTTAGTGATTCAATCCTTTGTGGTTTTCAAATAAAGATTTATGAAAGTGTGTTGTAACCTAGTGGATTATCTACTAATAAGATTATCATTGTTGAACAGTTTCTTTTTCTATTACTTATTTGGGGGATCAATTCCTTACATATCATTAAAACCCACCACTTCTTCATTCTTACCACAAAAATTTTAAAGTTTTTAACCATTTCAGTTGTAGTATTTTTTAAAGCTGTGTTTTTTGTCTTTTTACATTTATGTTTTTAAAATGTTACAAATATTTTGCAAATATACATATCTGCGTATAGATACACGAGCATTGGCCTGCAGACTGAAGGGACCCTGGTTCAGTTCTGGTCCATCCCCATAAGGGGGTGTGCAGGAAGCAGCCGATCAATGATTCTCATCATTGATGTTTCTATCTCTCTCTCCTTCTCCTTTCCTCTATGAAATCAATAAAAATATTTTAAAAATAAAATGTTACCAGTATAATTATTTATATTTTCCATGATAACTATATTAAACCTCTTTTAAGAACTTCTTAGGTATTCAGAAGGTTACTGATTTTTTCCTCTTCTAATTAAAGTAATAAAGTTCTCGTGTAAGAAATGTGGAAAATTTGCAAAAATGAAGAAATTTAAAACAACACTATTCAACTATCTATTTTTTTTTATTAATATATTTTATTGACTTTTTACAGAGAGGAAGGGAGAGAGATAGGGAGCTAGAAACATCAATGAGAGAGAAACATCAACCAGCTGCCTCCTGCACAACTCCTACTGGGGATGTGCCCGCAACCAATGTACATGCCCTTGACCAGAATCGAACCTGGGACCTTTCAGTCTGCAGGCCGATGCTCTACCACTGAGCCAAACCGGTTTTGGCTCAACTATCTATCTTAATACACACATTTGTATAGACATACAAACACTAATTTTTACCAAATTGGCCACCTAATAAATTTATTCTTTTGGGAATGTTTTTCCACTTTACTGTATGCTGGTAGATTATTAAATATATATATTTTTATAGATTATTAAATATATTTTTTGAAAACATGAATTTTACATTTTAATATGCAATACATACATAATTATGAAGTCCAACACTAAAGCAAGCATTCATACATGTACTACCCAACTTGAGAATTAGGCAGTTGCAACACCCTGGAAGTCACCTGTGTGCTTCTATACTGCTGCCCCTTCCCACCCTTGGGGACTCCTGGCCTCAAGGTTGTGTATTGTCAATTGCATGTGTGTGTGTGTGTTCACATGTATATCTTCAAACAGTATATTGCTATAGCTTGGTTTAGAGCTTTATACAAATGGTATTATACTGCATTATACTTAGCAGTTAAATGAGTATTACAAAATAGTTTAAACTGTCCTCTACTGTTATGTATTTAGAGATTTTTCTGCTTTTTTATCTTTAAAAGAAGTTGTGCATTAATCTGTCTGTGAATACCCAATTATAATTTTTTAAAATATATTTTATTGATTTCTTACAGAGAGGAAGAGAGAGGGGTAGAGAGCTAGAAACATCGATGAGAGAGAAACATTGATCAGCTGCCTCCTGCACACCCCCCACTGGGGATGTGCCCACAACCAAGGTACATGCCCTTGAGCAGAATCGAACCTGGGACCTTTCAGTCCACAGGCCGATGCTCTATCCACTGAGCCAAACCAGTTTTGGCCCCAATTATTTTCTTAGGAATAATTTCTGGAAATGAAATTGCTGGGTTAAAGTGTCAACACTTTTAAGATTTTTTTTTATAACCATACATCAGAAAATATGTCCATGTTGAAGATTTTAATAAAACAATTCAAACTTACCTAGCAGATAATTATAACAGTACATCCTAAATAGCTTTCCATCTTAAATGGCAACAAGAAACACAAATATCCCTGTGGCTTATCAAGTTAAATATCCAAAACAAACTTCCTCAGTATGTCTGACTCTCTGAAATATTTTCTGTTCTGTCACAGTGCTATATTACTATCCTCTTAGTTCCTAAGGCTAGAAACTTTAAAGACACCTTCTATCTACTTCCCACCTCCACTTCAGCCACTCTCCACTTTCCCTTAGTCAGTCCTCAAGTCCTGCTTGTTCTGTCTCTACACTGTTCCTCAAATCCATCCCTTCCCTTCCATTCTTACAAGCATTGCTCTGATTCAAACCCTGCTAATCTATCATGTGGACCATTATGCAGCCTCTTAACTGGTCTCCAACCTGTCTTTAGTCTCATGCCTCTCTAATATGTCCTTCATGCTGTTACTTTCTCAAAACACAGACTTGTCTTTAAAACTGATACCCAAAATCTCTGGTAGCTCTCCATTATCCACATGATAAAATCCAGACTCCTTAGTTAAATCTCTTGATCTAATTTAACCTCTCTCCAGCTTTGTGTCCTTGAGATTCACCCTCCCTACCTGACCCCATCCCAAGAACATTGTATTTTATATTCTAGCCAGCCTAGCCTACTTGCTCCCTATATATTTTCCTATTTTCTCCTTGTACTTGTTCCTTCCTCAACCTACAATACTCCCCCTCTTCTATCCTCCCTGTTGAAATGCTACTCGTGCTTCAAGGTTCCACTGAAATACCAGCTTCTCCATGGAGTTAACGTCAATGTAAGTTATCGTAGTTATAGATAGATGAGTCAGGCATGCTTGTGTCTCTTGAAGTACTTTGAATGTCAAATTGTGAAAAAAATATTTTATTTGCTTGATAGAAAATGCTGGGTAGAAAAAACAGAGCACCAACTATTTTAAACACATCACTTACAATAAATAAAAGAACTAAAATGTGTGTGTGCCTGTGTGTGTGTGTTGTGTGTGTGTGTGTGTACATATGTGTACATATGTGTACATACAGAGACTGATAGGAATACTTGAGCTACAATTCTTTTTGGTATCAGGCAGGATGAGTACTTTAAAATTAATTATATAATTAAACTCATCAGGTTTATTTTATCTGTGAAGATGCTTGCTTGGACTTTAACAGATGTCCATTTTAAGACTTAACCCCCATTTGGTCCAGCTGCAGCCTCTTCCCTGTTCCAGTGTTCCTTGCCAGATCTATCTAGTCAAAGTGACAGGCAGTTGACAGTCCCTTGAACTGTAAAAGGAAAACACTGCACTAGATGACTGTTAAATGGATGATAGATGATCTTCAAGGTCCTTTCCAGCTCTCATATTCCTAGATATCTTTTGATCATGAGACAGAAAAATGCTTAAGGACAAAGGAAAGTGCTGATTTGTTCTCTATTCTAGCACCTTCACTGATGTCAAGTAGCCAGTTGTTCCTTTTATTAACTCTGAACTGCCAAAATGTACTGTATGGGGATTTAGTACATTTGGCTCTAAACCCAAGTGTACCACTATCTTTGTGGCCTGGGCGTGCCACTTTCTGTCATCAGGCTTCTATTTGCTTATCTGAGAAGTGATAAAGGTTTAGACTAGATGTTCTGTGAGGTTCCTTGCAGCGTTCCTATAATTTTATAACTGGTATATGTAATGTGCCCAAGGATTTTTTACCCTATAATCATTATCCCATATTTCAAAGTTAAGATATCAGTAGAATGGAACTAGTCACAAAATATTTTCCTCTTCACAAATACTGTAGTTAGCAAAGTGGTGTATGGGTGATAGAGGAGTATCTTGGTTCCATCATTTCTACTTACCATAATATTTGTTCTCATATAGTAGGTATAGCTCAAGTCTTAAAATTATTACCAGTGGTAAAGTAAACCAAAAATTTTGAAGATACCTTGTCGGAATTAAGATTTTGGTGTAGGTTTTAAATATGCATACTAATTCAGATCAGTCTAGTAGTAGTAGTACAAAATATCTCAAAATATATGAACTCTAAAAATCATAATGGACTTCCTTTCTTAAAAAAGACTACAAAGTCTTACTGAAGAAGAACACCCCATTTTATTTCCAAGGGACAAGCTAATATTTGATATATGAGACTTGATTCCAGCATTGCTTCTAGCAAACGTAATTGTTACTGCTTAAATAAGTATTTCTTTTCTAGTAATTAGATTTCTTTTTCATTTTGATGGATAGTCATAAATATTAACCACCAACAGGGTAGGAATAATTTATATTCAAATTGTCAGACATCACTCTGTGAACACATAAAATAATTTACATTTATTTAGAATCTTTTATCCTATAGTGCTCTACATGTATTTCTCTATAATCTGATTACAATCTATATATAGGACTCTCACCTGAAATAAGGCAGCAACCAGAGTAATTAAAATAAAAAATACATAGACAAAAGAAATATATGTTTTTCATTTGTTCCTATATGGTCTTATGCCTATAGGATTGGAGAATCCATGTTGACCAAATGCACCAGCACAAAAGTGGAATTGAATCTGCTCTAAAGGAGACCAAGGTATGTGAATATACATTGACTCTTCTGTGGAACATCTATTAAGGGAGAACATGAAAGAAAAAAGACACAAATCTTGCCCTTGAGGAGTTTATTATTTGAATGTAACATATTATATTTCCACAGCCCTAAGCACTTAAACCAACCGAAGAAAAGTAACTTTATATAAAAGTGGTAAAATATATCTTATATTACATATTATTAGATATGTAGTTAATATATATCTATAATAATAAAAGAGTAATATGCTAATTAGACCGGGAGAATTTCAGGACATCCTACCAGACAAAGCCATGGTGGTGGGGCCGAGGCAAAGGCAGTTAGGGGTGATCAAGCTGGTGGGAGGGGGCAGTTGGGGGCTATAAGGCTGACGGGGGAAGTTGGGGCCAATCAGGCCGGCAGGGAGGCAGTTGGGCATAATCAAGTTGGTGGGGAGTGGCAGTTGTGGGCAAGAAGGCTGGCAGGGGAGAAAGTTGTGGACAAGCAGGCCGGGGCGGGGGCGGGCAATTGAGGGTGAGCAGGCCAGCAAAGGGGGGGGGTAGTTTGGGGCAATCAGGCTGATAGGGGGCAGATAGGAGCAAGCTGGCTGGCAGGGGAGAGTTGGGAGTAATCAGGCCAGCAAGAGGGGGATTGGGAATGAGTGGGCAGGGGGGGGTAGTTGGGGGCGAGCATGCCAGTGGGACGGGGGGGAGGGGGGGGCAGTTGTGTGTGAGCAGGCCAGGGTAGTTGGGGGTGATCAGGCCAGCATGAGGGGGCAGTTGTGGGTGAGCAGGCTGGTGGGAGGTGAAGTTGGGTGCAAGCAGGCTAGCAGAGGGGGGTAATTGGGATTGATCATGCTGATGAGGGGGCAGTTAAGGGCAAGCTGGCTGGCAGGGAGAGCAGTTAGAGGTAACCAGGCTGGCAGGGGAGGGCAGTTGGGGGGGACTAGGCCTGCAAGGGAGGGCAGTTGGGGGCAAGCCAGTCAGCAGGGGAGGCAGTTGGGGGTGACTGGGCTGACAGGAGAGGGCAGTTAGGAAGGACCAGGCCTGCAGGGGAGGGCAGTTGGAGTGATAGGACCTACAGGAGAGGGAAGTTGGGAGTGATCAGGCCGGCAGGGAAGGGTAGCTGGGGGTGACCAGGCCAGTAGGGAAGGGCACTTGGGAGCGACTAGGCCAGCAGGGAAGGGCAGTGGGGTGACCAGGCCTGCAAGGGAGTGAGGCAGTTGGGGGGAACTAGGCCTGCAAGGGAGTGAGGCAGTTGGGGGGAACTAGGCCTGCAAGGAAGGCAATTGGAGGTGACTGGGCTGACAAGAGAGGATAGTTGGGAGTGACCCAGCTGGCAGGGGAGGGCAATTAGGCATGATCGGCCAGCAGGGGCGAGCAATTGTGGGTGACCAGGCCAGCAGGGGAGGGCAGTTGTGGGTGTCCAGGCTGGTAGGAGAGGGCAGTTGGGGGTGACCAGACTATCAGGGGAGCAGTTTGGCATTGATCAGGCTGGTAGGGAGCGGTTAGGGGGTGATCAGGTTGACAAGCAGAAGCAGTTAGGGGCAATCAGGCAAGCAGGCAGGTAAGTGATTAGGAGCCAGCAGTCCCGACTGTGAGAGGGATGTCTGACTGCTGTTTTTTGATCCCTGTGGGATTGGGCCTAAACCAGCAGTTAGACATCCCCAAGGGGTCCTAGATTAGAGAGGATACAGACTGGGCTGAGGAAACCCCTCCCCACCCTGTGTACAAGTTTCATGCACCCGGCTTCTAATATATATCTGTATATATAAAAGACTAATATGAAAAGTGTCCCTGTAGGAATTCCAATGGGAAACCAGGAGTTCTATTGCTCACTGTGATATGCGCTGACCACCAGGGGCAGTGCGGAATGAAGGAAGGCCCCAGCCAGCAGCCAGCAGCCAAGGGAGGGAGGCCCCAGCCAGTAGCCTGCAGCTAGGGAATGGTGACCCTGCCTGGCACCCAATTGGTGAAGGGAGGCTCTGGGGAAGGGAGGCACTGGGGAAAGGAGGCACTGGCTGGCAGCCAGAAAAAGGCCCCAACCAATAGCCAGAAGGCCCTAAACAGCCCTGATTGCCAACCAGGCCTAGGGATCTGCCCGTGCATGAATTTAGTGCATTGGCTTCTAGTATGACAATGGAAGTGTAATATACTAATTAGATTGGACGTCCTTCTTTCTGGACAAATTCACGGCAGACAGGGGCCGAGGCAGAGGCTGCAAAGGTCCCTGGCCATAGTAGCAGGTGGAAGACATGGGCTGTGGGCTGAGGCCTAAGCCATTAGTCGGACATCCTCCGAGGGCTCCCAGACTGAGAGAGGGCACAGGCCAGGCTGAAGGACCCTCAGCCAAGTACACAGAATTCATGCACTGGGCCTCTAGTGTGTGTGTGTGTGTGTGTGTGTGTGTGTGTGTGTGTGTGTGTGTGTACCAATAAAAAGAAAGATGCAAATTATACCTTCACGACGTCCACCAGCCAATCAGTGGGTATGCAAATTAACCCAACAAAGATGGCAGGTTGGCCAAGACCGGTTTGGCTCAGTGGATAGAAAGTCGGCCTGCGGACTGAAAGGTCCCGGGTTCGATTCCGGTCAAGGGCATGTACATTGGTTGCGGGCACATCCCCGGTGGGGGGTGTGCAGGAGGCAGCTGGTTGATGATTCTCCCTCATCAATGTTTCTAGCTCTCTATCCCTCTCCCTTCCTCTCTGTAAAAAATCAATAAAAATATATTAAAAAAAAAAAAAAAAAAAAAAAAAGATGGCAGGTTAATTTGCAAACACAGTTGCCAAGTGGCCAGGGCATTCTGCATCGCCTCAGCCACTCCAGGCCTGTGGGCAGCGTGGGAAGGCAGAAAGGGAGCTCAAGACCGGAGCGAAGGCGGTGCCAGCAGCCAGGGGAAGGAAGGCCCATTCTTGCATGAATCTTTGTGCATCAGGCCTCTATTTATATATGTAATCAGAGAGAAACATTTCATCATTCAAATTCCTTTCTGAATCCCAAAGAATAGCAGAGTGCCAGGCCAGTCAGGCCTTGAATCCACAGCTTCCCCAGGCTTGCTGCCCTTCCAGAAATAAGGACTTTTAGAGTATACCACAAAGAAGCAAAATTTGAATGAGAATTTGTGGTTCTCAGACTAGAGCTAAGTTTAATGATCTACTTCCAACTGGACTCTTTCAGTCTTGTTTGAATTGTGTCAGAAGAAAGTCATGTTATTTCCTCACCTACTTGTATTATGAACTTCACATAAAGCAAATTTCACTCAGATCTATTCTAGATATGCATAAAAATGAATGAATTGACTAACACTGCCAGGTGCCACTTTATTTTAATATTCTGAAAATTGACTATATTTCTCACTGCAGACTTCTTTTGTTATTAAAAATTTTAAACTTTATCACAAGTGGTTGAGGATTTATGGGATGGATTGAGGGAAATTTAATCAATTTTAAACTTTTTTATGTTTGAAAAATATGTGAAATTTTTTATCTACTAAAGTCACATGGAATTTCTAGGGATTTTTGGACAAACTCCATAATGAAATTGGAAGGACTCTGGAGAAGATTGGCAGCCGAGAAAAGTACATCAATAGTCAGCTTGAGCACTTGGTTCAAGAATATCGTGCAGCTCAAGCTCAGCTGAGTGAGGTAACTTAAGAATGATAACCAGGGATTTATTCTAATTAATAACCCTAATCCTTAAGCTTGACACAGCACTTTTCATCGGAAAATTGTGAAATGTATTTCACAAACATCAATGCAGTATGTCCATACTTAACATTGTTGACAGCTTCTTGTAAACTGCAATTTTAAGCAAAATGATGTGTAAACAAAACCAATTTTTTGCCATAGGCTAATTGATGTACAGAACTGTGCCATAGAACTCAACTCCTGTTTCTATCAATTAACTTAGGGCAAAATTGCTTAAGACCACAGTTTCTAAGAGCCTATCAGATGGACAACATTAAGTGAGGACTTATGTATTCTGATTCTCTGCCTACTTTAGAAAGCAAGTGAGGCAATGAACTTGTCATTTCCATATTACATGCAATAGAAGTGATCTCCTAGAAGTCTTTAAATGAATTTCTTCATTTGATTTAAATAAAAGAAAGCGTATATTTTTGGGAATATGACTTAGAATAGGAACAAGTTATCAGGACACCTAGTTTTGTTTCTATCTGCTGTTAACTTACCATATGTGTGGGAGGATGAAGAATAGTATGCATTTACATATGTCAGAGGGAAAAGACATTCTTTCCATAATGACTTACAACCATGTAATAAGCAATATGAAAGCAAGACACGTTCAAAGACAAGCAGTTTAATTAATGAAATGAGCAAATTTTTAATCCTTTCAAAGTTTTAGAATTTCAACCAAAAAATAAAGCCTTCAGCCTTTGAAAGCAGCATTTATTGTCCCAGAAGTGGGGATGTAAAGGCTTTCCTTTGAGATTTATGCCTCCTCCTTCCTGATGTTGAAGAAGAATAGTAAGAACACTTGCAAATGTCCGTTGAAGGCATATATTTTTTTCTGTCAGCAGACAAGGTTAAGGGAGAAAAATATGGAAATAAACTTAACATACTTCTGTACTTTCAGAAGTTCTCAAAGACCAAGCAGAAAGTAATCTTTACCTTTTTATTGTTATTTGTTTATTTCTTCATATACACATCTATTCATGGATACTTTTATTTTTAAAATGCTGTAGAAGTCTGACTAAAGCCACCATGTATCTCTCAAACTTTGCTATTAAATAATTGATTGTTAAATTAGTTCCCCCAAACATACTGCATACTGTCATACTGTTTGTTAATCTTTATTAATTGCTGATCCTGATGCTCTATTAGGATTGATTTTTTAAAACTGGTTTTCTATACATAGCACACAAATTATATTGACCAAGAGCCTCTCTCCTAAACTGTAAAATAATGGCTGAGGACAGTTTTATTTTGAACCATGCCCATACCAGTTACATAGACAATATGTGAAGGTTAAAGTAGTTTATCATTTTGTAGTGCTTTATTTAAATACATGGTGTCTATTAAGGACATAAAATAACTACAGTTAAATGTCACTTCCACAAATGTGTTCAGAAATGAGGGGAGGATTGTCACAAAATGATATGAAGAAGTAGCAAACACCAGATCATATTTAAGTAATCTGTTTCTGTGGCGAATTTGTCATTAAACAAAATCTTTTCTCTCTCAGGCAAGGGAGCGATACCAGCAAGGAAATGGCGGAGTGACTGAGAGGACCAGACTGCTGTCTGAGGTACTTGCTGTGTGCTCTTGCAGACTCCTCACCCATCACCTGAGCCAGCTGTTCAGAGCCCTGACGCTTTAATATTGCTACACCTTGGGTTGTTTCAATAATTATTTCTGTGGCTTTGAATTTTTTCTTTAGGAGAAAATTTCTCATTTTTTAAATGAATCAATTATGTATATATGTATATTCCACTTGTTTCCATAAACTGCCTGAAGTTCTATTAAATTGAATATAAAACCTGATGATAATATTAGCAAATATATAACCTTCCTTAACTTTCTTAAATATAATGATTATACTAGACATATAGAAGAGTAGGTAGAACATTGGCTTAAATATCTATAACAGCTTTTAATGTTAGTCTGCAAGATCCAAGACTTGTTTTCGGTGATCATTGATAATGTGTATGTGATACTGAGTATTCCTCTCTCTACAAATTGGGAGTGGCATGGAACCCTTGCCTTCTGAGAACACTTGGGAAAAAATAGTATATTTATTTTTATCATCTTGAAAGAGAACTAAAACCTAATATCTATTCCCATTTTTTTCACTGAAGAGCTGAGAGAGAAAAAAATACCTTTAATAAGGTCAATAGCCAATGTGGAACTAAAATCCAGGATTATCTTTTATTACAATTCAGTATAATTGTCACAAATTTTTCTATATAATACAATTAAGCTTCTTTTATAGATATTATTTGAGAAGTAAATGGTTATTTTAAAATATAAAAAAAATATCACTTTGAAAATATTTATACTTTAATCCAGTGGAGCTTCTAGGCAAATTAAATATTATATAGAAATGAAGTGCTCACTGAGGTTGAGTAAATTAACACTTGAAGGGAGTCCAGGGAGTCATTCAATTCTTTCAGAGTGGATAGTTATCCTCAGTTGTAACATTTCAGGTGCTGGAAAAAATTAATTTGCTTTACTTGGATGATTACCTTCTTCCCAAGGAAGTTTTTACTCACTAGTAGGATAAAAAATAAAGCCTGCTAAGTTACAATAATTATGCTTAGTTCTAGATTATATAAAAATTTTTTATTTTTTAAAGATGGTATTTCCTACCTATGTCAATGCTATTTTGGATGTTTGTTAATAATAGTTGTATAATTTTGAAGATGTAGTTGTATCATTTTGAGTATTATGTGGAGTACAGATAAGAACCAATATGATAGCAGAGTATGTCTCTTGGAGTTCATGGTTTGGATAGATCAGATAGAATATTTTTATACATAGCCATATGGTATACACATTATTTTTAGTGTGCTATAGAGATAAAGGTGGCGTATTCTCTTATAAAACTGTATGTTAAGAAAGATATCTCATAAACCTTTAGAAATCCAAATCTTTTTAGACTATTTATGCTATTTTAATCAATAACTGATTATTAGAGACTGACAGGGTAGATGCTATGAGATAACTACACTGAGTGGCCAGATTATTATGATCTCTGAATGCATAATAATCTGGCCCTCACTGTGTGTGTGTGTGTGTGTGTGTGAGGCCCAGTACATGAATCCATGCATGGGTGGGGTCCAGCCAGCCTGGCCATGGCGAGGGGGCATGGAAGGTTAGCTGGCCTGCCTGCTGGTTGAACTCCTGGTCGATGGGACAATTTGCATATTAGCCTTTTATTATATAGGATGTACACTGAGTGGCCAGATTATTATGTGTTCAGAGATCATAATAATCTGACCACTCAGTGTATAAGGTTTGAGAAAACAATTTAGTTTTTATTATTCTTCTAGAGGCCCAGTGCATGAAAATTCATGCACTGGAGGGGTATGCCTCATCCTATCCTACCCCATCTCACAATTTGGGACCCCTCAGGGGCAGGAGGCAATATTGTGATCAGGGGAAGGCGATGTCCCCATCACACCACTACTGCTGACACTGCCAGCAGCACAAGCCTCGACCAGCCCTGGTTACCTGAGCCTCAGGCAGCCCTGGGCGGTGGGGCAGCTGTCATTCGAGACTTTCCTGTGCCTTGGGTTGGCCCTGGGCAGCTGGGAAGTTACCATCTAAGGTATGCCTGTGCCTTGGGTGTTGGCTGGGCAGCTGCCATCCGAGGTTTGCCTGTGCCTTGGGCCAGCTCTGGGCGGCTGAGGGGCCGGGGAGGCTGGGAGACTCTGGAGACAGGAGTGCAGAACAGCTGGGCCACCTGGGAGCAGGCCCAGCCTTGCCGCGCACCCTTCATCCCGGCAGGGCTGAGTGGACTGGGCGCCACCATCTTGTGGCTGTGGTCATCAACATCTTTGAGAGGTGTGACAGTCAATTACCATATTCCCTCCTTATTGGCTGTGGGCGCCACAATCTTTGCAAAGGGATGAGCGTCAATTAGCATATTCTCTCTTTATTAGATAGGATCATGTTACCACCTGCAAAAGTTACTGAGGAAGTCATTTCATGTATTTAACGTTAAGAGCACTCTCAGAAGATAAAAAGCTTTGTATCGCTGCATACTTTATCTTATTCAAATTATATCCAGAATACTCCTAATATCTCTATAGTCTTTATGTGCATATTATTTCTAAGTTTTTTATTGCAGCCTTTAAAAATGTTGGAAGTTTACTTAAATTCATTGCTCATAAAAAAAATTTTTTTTTCAATGAAAGGTTACCGAAGAACTAGAAAAGGTAAAGCAAGAAATGGAAGAAAAAGGTAGCAGCATGACTGATGGTGGTAAGTACACATTCATTTTAAAAAGAAAATGAGCAAGAGAAGACGGTATTAGTAAGTAGGTCATCTGCTTTTTAAAATGAATGTATTAGGGAGAGGGAAAAGGGTGCCAAAATGATGTCTGATAGTACACTGTTTTCCTTATAAATTAGCTGAGAAGAGCCATTTTAACTATATGTAGGGTTTTGTTTTATTTTTTTTTAAATCAAATGAAGTGGGAAATATTTATGCACTTTGTTGTGTCAATTTAAAAAAATATTTTGGTCTGTTTTGTCAAATGAGCTTAATTATCCCATTTTATGTACAAAAGAGCACTAAATGTATGCCCAAATGGCACACAGGCAGTGATCTGATGACCTCTGTTTTGTTTTTGTTTTTTCCTTTTCCCCAGTAGACCTGACTGGACAGAGATCAAATAGAGAAGAATTAATAATCCTTCAGTAATCCTCCTCCATCATGAGCTAGTTATTTTGACCTGGCCCAGTAGTGATTGCCTAACGCCCTTCTATGCTCTAAAAGATTTTCTAGGGATATTAGAGACCCAATGCATGAAATTCATGCAAGAGGCTTGTCCCTTGCAGCTCCGGCTTTTTCTGGAAGGTGGTCCTGATGGTCATTTCTGCTGCTGTTTGATCTAATTAACATATTAGTTCTTTATTGTATAGGATATACTAAGCCATTTTTTCAAAAGGGGATACATAGGGGCTTTGCAGTATGGTTGAATGAACCCATTATATCTCAAAGATAATTCTTTCTTTTCTTTCAGATATATGTACCAATCCATAAAAAAATTGAAGACACCCCTAAACCACCTGTTTAGCAACTCTTTCCATAGAAAAGACAGGAAGTTCAGCCTTAGTACTTCAAATCCTGTTTCATTTCCCATCCTATAAATCTCAGGTGGTTAAAATGCCACAGCAAAATGGTGTGAATATCAGTAAGATGTTGGCTGTTTTTAACCCTATTTTTGGCTTAAGACAAAGTGAGGGAAGTGTTATACAACTCTGTATTATGATGCTACTCCAAATAAATATTTTTATTCCATGTTATTTTCATTCTGCAGCTCCTTTGGTAAAGATTAAACAGAGCTTAACAAAGCTGAAGCAGGAAACTGTTCAGATGGACATTAGAATCGGTGTTGTGGAACACACATTACTCCAATCACAGCTGAAGGAGAAATCGAACATGACTAGGGACATGCATGCAACAATCATTCCAGAATCTGAAATGGGTTCTTATTAAAACATTAGTGTGGTGTTTTTTGTGTGATTCTGATTAGTTGGTTTTTTAATATCAAATCATATTACATGTTGCATTTTCAAAACACAATTATAACTCTTAAAGCATGTTCAATGAGTATTTTTATATACACACACATATTGTATCATGGTGATTATGGATGGTTAAAGCCTTAAAATGAATATAGTATTTAATAAAGTAATGAAAAATTATCACTTTCAAAGCAGCTTTAATTAATCATTAAATGTTAAAATCCCCACTCATTGCTTTGTTCTTTTTCTTGTTTCTGTGTAAGCCAGTGTATGTGACCCATGCTTTCTGTAGCTCTGTTGCTGCTCTCACTACATGGACCTTTGACACAGGCTGACCAACTTTAGTTTGGTCACTTCTGGGAGATCACCAGTGCATCTGCATCTAGAGGCAGCTAACCAGACTTCCATTGAATCAGCTTTATGGTTACTTGAAATTACTTAAGAAAAAACTTCAATATCCTTATTAACATTTGAAGTTTATTACTTAGCATGAGTGTTCCATGACTAAAGGATTTTATATTTTCTATGATTTAAGGCCACCTAATAAGTGACTATTTCAGTCATGTTGACTCTTTTTTATAGTGACAAAAAAGGTATAAACATCGTCACTTTGTTCTGTGGTATTAGAATAATTTTGTAGTTGAAAGAGAGACAGCAAGTCACATGCAGATCAGCATCCTAGTCCTGGTGATGGTTACACACCCTACTGAGCAGCTCTATAGACCAGGACTTCTATATGGCAAACTAAGCAACATTACAACAAAGGGAAACTGGTAGAGGAGCACAACCAGGAGCCAGCCCACATTTATTTATTTAGAAAGCTCTGGTGGTAAATTTTGACAAGAATCCTATGTATAGAACAACAAAAATAATAAAATCCCTTTCTCATTCTTTATCCTAGTGTTTTCTACCTCAAATTTTCTTAGCCTTTACTTTCTAGACATATACTCTAACACTTTTTCTTTCCTTCAAACTCTAGTTTAAATTTGATAAAAGAAAATTTATGTGTAAGTTCTGTTAGTCAAGAGGGTGGTTTTCAATACAATGGCAAATAATCTGGTTTATTTAATGTATAAAGAAGAAGAGGAATCCATCATGTGATAATAGGCAGTTTGAGAGAGTCCCAGCCTTCCCCCTTTCTTTGTGCTTATTGGGAGGGGCGTAGTAAAATGGAACTTAACTTTGGTCTCACAAACAAACATTGATTCTTCTAGAGTTTATTTGCATAGGTATTGTCATAGCTAAGCAGTTTTTTTGATTAATGCAATTAATGTATAGGACCCTTCTAGATAAATCAGAGCTCTCCATAAAATGTATATTTGCTCAGAAGCAAACTGTGTTGTTCATTTAATGCAAATACATAGTAATCTAGGCACTCTTTCAATGAGTAATGTGAGCAGCCCATTTTCACTTCCTTCTCTGAAATAATCCAGTTTACTTGGTTTGCTCTGGGGGCCCTCTCTGTTCCCAGAGAACACTGTGAATACCTCTAATGTAGAACTTACTGTACTGCACTAGAATTATTTCTTCTGCCCTTTTTTCTATATTAATCTGCTTGAGTGTAGGGAGAAAGTCTTTTTCACTCCCATATTTGTAGCCAAGTACCTAGCAAATAGAGTGTGAGTTGGTAAGTGGATGGGTTATGCTGTTCCAGAGTATCTCATAGCTCCTATTCTACAGCCTGGGAACTGTAATGACTGAGCTTAAAACAGTTTCAAAATAATAATTATAAATGATAGGCTTTTCCCTATGGTGGTAGATTGGAATTGGAAACATTAATATGAACTCATGTGTGTGTGTTTTTCATACATATATGTTAATAGAAATAACTAGAAATTCATGTACACATATATACATATACTTACTTTTGTCTTCTGATAGCCTAGAAGCAGTGACAGCCCAGTAACAATGAGAATACCTAGTGTTAAGATCTTGTTTTCTAAATTTTCTATTTTAAAAAAAGGAGGGTACTTCTTAGAAAAATTACTGATTCCTAGCCTGGAGAGAGAAAGGACAAAATGAGCCTCAAATATCTTGCTCTGCTAAAAAGTAAGGTAATGCTCAAAGAATGATGGGAAAATGACTAAGAAAAAAATTAAGAATGAGGTATATTCCACCATCCAATCTGGGAAAATTAAATATGAAAGTAAAGGATTAGAGTAATGAATTCCAATCCATAGATTAAAACAAGAAACCATGATATACAGATAGAAATAAATGAATCAAAGGGATAAGAGAAGAATCTTAAAAAGACAGCTAATGTAAGAGGAATAGTATATTTAGAAATCATCATCTGGTAACTAGTGGTAATTATTTTGAGCAAGAATCATCAATGGATACTAAATCTAGTAGATAAAAATTTAATGGAAAGCTAAATATCTACATTGCCTCAGAGTAAATTGTAAACTTGAAAGTAGAAAATCCTGGCAGACACCACTTTAACTTACTGATCAAAAGTTAACATCACTAGTAGTGAACAAATAGGCATCACGTGTCTCGTGAAAAGGGTACACACACTTGTGTAGTTATTGCTGAAAGTGCATAACCTGAATCTCATCATGGGGAAGCATCAGATGAATCCAGTGGAGGGACACTGTAGAAAATGGCTTGTATTCTTAGAAAATGATAATGAGGTCATGACAAAAAATACAGAAACTCAAATTAGAGGAGACTAAAGACACATTTTTAGATGTCCTGCATGAGGGAAAAAATTATTTTTGCTGTTATAAAGGACATTCTTGAGACAATAGGTAAAGTTTGAATAAGGTTTATAGATTTAGTAGGGTGAAATCAGTGTTAATTATTTATACTTGTACTATGGTCATGTAAGAAAATGTTTGGAAACAAAGTAGAATTGTGTCAGCAGTTTACTCCCAAATGGTTCAGGGAAAAATACGTGTGTGTGTGTGTGTGTGTGTGTGTGTGTGTGTGTGTGGTGTGTGTGTGGGTGTTTAACACATGTATATAGAGAAAAGGAGAATGATAAAGAAAAAGTTAATGTTTTGGGAATCTGGAGGGAGAATATATAGAAATTCGTTGCATATTTAAATAATTTTTTAAAATATGTATTAGTTGATTTCAGAGAGAGGAAGGAAAAGGGTGAGAGAGAAAATTCAATGATAAGAGAGAATAATTGGTCAGCTGCCTCTTGCATGCCCCCCTTCCAGGGAGCTAGCCTGCAACCTGGACATGTGCCCTGCCCGAGAATTGAACCATGACCTCTAGTTCATGGGTTGATGCTGAACCATTGAGCAACACTGGCCAGGCTCCATTGCACATTTAAAAATAATTTTTTGTAAGTCTGAAATTATTTCAAAATGTAAATCTTAAAAAATAATGGTTCTTAGAAAGTATATACTTTATATAGAAGTTAGTCTCCCTCTGATTCAAGTAATCAACTTGTTGAAGTAATAAGACTTTTTTTTAAAATAAATATATTTTATTGATTTTTCTTACAGAGAGGAAGGGAGAGAGAGAGACAGCAGAAACATCGATGAGAGAGAAACATCGACCAGCTGCCTCTTGCACAACCCCTACCAGGGATGTGCCCGCAACCAATGTACATGCCCTTGACCGGAATTGAACCCGGGACCTTTCAGTCCACAGACCGATGCTCTACCGCTGAGCCAAACCGGTCTTGGCTAGAAAATATTTTTTTTAAATTCTAAGGAAGTTTTTTTCTTACTGCCCTTTAGTTTATCTATGTCAGCATTTACCATGACTTTTACACAAAAGCAAACATTTCTGTAACCAGCAAACGAGAAATGCTGTACAAGTTTCCTTTTCTTCATGTCTTCCCGCCTACATTGTGAATCTGCAAGCAGCAAATGTAATTCCATTATATTTTTACAAATAGGTAACTGCATACTCTTAACAATGGAGAATGCAGATTTAGATAAATAAGCATGTAAAATCAGTATATAAATCTGAGATTATTCTCCAACCTTTTATTAGAACCAGGGGACCTACTTAGGAAGATAAGAGACACATGCCACACTGATCCATAACCCACCTTGCTTAAACAGGTGGTGATCCCTGAATGGTTGGGAAACTTTGTACAGAACCTAGGATTTCATGGCCAAATGTTTTTCTTCTTAAAACACTTCTATGCCAACTCAAAATTGTTTTCTCTCAAAGGCAGTCTTTATTATGATAATGTAGTTATCATATTGCCCTATTTTGAGGTCAGCTAGCATTGTCATAGCTATATTTTTGAAAAGTTAATGTGACCAACAACCAAGTCATAAATCCTTAATTTTTATATTTCAAAAGGAGGAATGGCATTTTAAAGGGTAAAAACAAAAACAAACTCGGATTCACTAGATTATTAGTGTGTGTTGTTTTTTTGTTTTGTTTTGTTTTGTTTTACAGGAGAGAGAAGAGCAAGAACCATGCTCATCTTAATGTCTCCTAAATTGCATAGCTCAAGGATCAGCTTTCCATAATGTGTGCTTTTAATACAGCTTTGGAGAGTTCAGATCTGTGATCCACTGATTCACCATCAGTGCCTTATTTCAGGGTCCCCTTAGTCCCCTCCATGTCTTGCTCTTACACTACTAAGTCCAGTTGACAATCAGATCCTACCCTACAGCCCACCATCTGCTCCTTCCCATCCTCAACTTGAGAAATTGTCACACAGGCTTAAATATCCATACATAGCCCTTTCTCCATGGGTCAGTGTAGTTAACAATTAGTGGAAAGCATTCTCTAGGCTAGCAACTTCTGAAGTTCCTAACTCGGGTTGGGCATCAAAATAAAATAGGAATTTTTTTTTAACAACATCAAATTTCCCAGCACTCTTCCCCCCTCAATTTTTATTAAAGAGTTTCTGAGTGGGACTGGCGAGTGGTATCAGAAAATTTAAAAAGCTCCTCTGGCGATTGCACCAGCTAATCTGAGAATTCCTTTGAGGACCTACCCCTCTAGAAATTTTCTCTGGTTATAAGTTCACAGACATAGCATCTTAGATCT